CCCCCAAAACCCCAAAACCCCAAAACCCCGAAAGAGTGCTACAATTTTGAATTATAATATTAAAGATGTTGTCCAAAACCTTGGTTTTATTAGCAATGGCTAGCTCTTGTTTAGCAACGATTACGAGACTCGATAGGAACCTTCTATCTTCGAGTCCATCAACATGCAGAAGTTGTGTAGACTCTAGTAGTCAAAGATGGTGAACTACAAGCAACACTGATAATCCTGGCTCCGGAGAATGATGAAACTCCTGGGATTTCTCTGGTTATTGCTCAGGCAGTAGTAGTTATGTTTGCTCTAACTCAAGCAGCATTGATAATAATGGAGGTCTCATACTTTGTCCAACTGATACATCTGATTGTGGGAGTCGGAGCTGGTCAATGTATTCTAACTCAAGCACTAGGAATATTACCAAAACTTACATTTCTAGCAGCTCTGTGTGCATTTACAGAATCTATACATACTCAAGTTATGTCAAAAGTGTAAAAATTGATATCAGTAAGAAACTAACAATTTTCTTCAATTCTGATCATTGGAATTCTCCTACTTTTATTTCATGATGAATGTTTAGCATTGGTCCAGGCTTATATAAATCATTGTTTGTTGATCAAAAATAAGAATCTTCAACTCCTTTGTTCTTGATGTTTTAGAGGCATCTTTAGTTTGCAAAATCAAATTCAAATGTTTTAGTCGATTTTCCTTCGAATTTGAGAACAGTTACAATTTTAATTTTAAATTCTATCAGAATTTATATGGCTTCTCTGCTCAAAACAAGACATTGTCCCTCAAAACTGTTTAAATGGAAGCACATCTTTGTGTTATTGGACTCCTTTTGGAGTTATATTAGTCTAGGCGATCTTACAATAGCATTCATTGGTTGATTTCGAGATATGCCTTCGTCTATAAGCTTCGCCATCCTGATGTTAGTGAACGATTCAACTTTAGTCTTGAGACTTAGAGTAACCTAGCTTATAGATGATCTGAGCTCTGCTGAAATTACCATCTTCACAGGATCATCGAGCACTAACAGCTACGACTACAAAGGAACTATGAATGAAGACGATAAGAAGAGTTTCACTCTAGACTACAACACAGACACATACATTGTTGTTGAACCTTCTTCGTACTATAACAAGATCGATATTGACCTCGAAGCAAGCTCCTCATCACCGTAAGATATGTATGTGATCTTTAATAGAAGTTCATCAAGCAATGCAGGAGCCATTGTTGGAGCAGTTCTTGGCGCACTTTTTGGAGTGGGGATCATGATCTGCATCATTGTATGAGGGGTAATAATGTGAAACAAATGTGCTAAAGCAAATGCTCAGCAAGGTGAGTTTTAGTTGTGGATTTATTCATTATAAAAAGAAACAAATAAAATTTTTATCAGCTTTGATTTAAACTTGTCTAAATACTCATCATATCTGTACCAGTTAGTTTCGATCTAATTCTAAATAAACTATTCACATCTTATCTAGCACAAGCTCGTCAGAACAACATGGCTGCTGCCAGCCTCAATCACACTCAGCCAAGACCACAGATTTATGAAGATATCAACCTGCAAATGAACAATGCCCCTCCTGCAAACACGTCCTACCAAATCCGTACTTGTTCTCTGACTGTTTAGCTCCTCCTCAGCCTCTGTATCCCTCTCCACAATACATGGATCCCAAGTAAGATTTTTAGTGAACTCTAGCAACCCGTACATGGTGAACGATCCTTATATGGTACAACCTCAGATAGCTGTTCCAGTTCCTCCAGGTGTTGATGGCCCTACACCAATTGAAGGTAAGCCTCAAAGACAACTTTAGGGAACCCAGTGGATCCAGTTGGGCCAGTCCAGAACGCAAAGCCTGTAGACTAGAGTAGAATGGATTCTGAATTATTGAGTGATGTTTTAAGGAATATAGTTCATCAATCTTCCTGATCTGTAGCGGGGTTTTGGGGTTTTGGGGTTTTGGGGTTTTGGGG